TTAATCGTAAGCCGGAAGTATTAATTAATTGTTTCAATTGTTATTGGGTCGCACGGAGAGTTCGGGGAACTGTATCTACCCTCGTAGATCGTAGCGTGTAGAAAATCGTGAAAATATTCAGAGACATACTACTATAACACTATAGTGTATGTGAGAATTTTTTTAAAAGTGTAGATTCTTTATTTATGGTAATGAAAATTCATAAAATTTCTGGATAATGAATCTTCATAAGTGATATATGATTGGATTTTTTCTCGGATTCTAATTTATGGACAATTGTGAAAAAATTCAGAGGTGTACTTCTACACCAGTCGTACGCGTAAGAATTCGTTTTATGATCGTATCGTTAATGATTATTTTTAAAAAAAACAGACGAAGACCGATAAAGGAAATCGTTCTTCCAAGAATAAAATCTTTCCTGATTCACGAATGTGAGTCGGAACGAACTTCCCGGGCAAACCCATATAATAATTGAAAATGAGAAAATGAACGAAATCGTACAAGCATCAGCGAATCTAATTATTAATTAACTGATTACTTACACAGTAATTTATTGTCGATTCGCATTCCGAAGTGCGGAGGTTCCGCGGGTGATTTCGTTCTTCACGAAACATCAATCCCGTCGCACTCTAATTTATTTGTTAATTATCAAACAGAGGTAATTATTAAAGAATATTTTCGTTTTAATCGATTAAGCAAAAATTATTTGAATGTAAATAGCAAGAAGAAGGACAGGAAGAATAACAGAATTATCGCATTGTTAATTAGTTTTAATCGGAATCGAAGAATACGAATTTCCTTTTTCAACGATATTGTTAATTAATTAATTAAGGATAGTACGATATTTTGTTTTTGATTGGAACTCCTCACTTGAAATTGTAGCAGATTTCGTCCCAATGAAGGGAACTGAATGAAACCTGAGTAAGACCTTCAGGAAGGGTCCAATCAAATGTCCCTAAAGTTCTATAAAGCTATCTTTAACAGTTTCAAAATTATAAACAATAATAAATGAACTTACCAATCCAATAATCGTTATAATGCTTCATTTTTCAATTATTACCAAACCGTTGAATATGTGTTAATTTAACGTGGAAGGTACTTAGATATAACCTTCTTGAACCTTCTCTCAAGTTTCATTTAACTCCTTTCATTAGAACGAGAGTTATTGCAATTTGAAGCGAGACATGTCAGTCAGAAACTGAATATTGGTTGGACAAAGTAAGTTCGTTCGAAGTAAAAATCGGAGTAATTTACTATTTGCCAACCCGACATATTGTAAATATAAATAGAGGAGTAGTTACAGAATTCGAAATTACACACGGATTAATTTAATTACCTGTGTGCGCAGTAAATTATAGATTAGGTGATTAATCAATTCCGAGTATCGATCGAAGATCAATAATCGGAGATTTTATTTAATTAGAATATTATGTAATTAATTAATCCTCCATTTTACTGTTACCTGAAATCGAGGTAAGGATTTGTAATTCGCAGTTTGGTTGACGGACGATTGTTAATTACAATTACACACGTTCAATTGATTATTAATTGTACACACGCACGTACATCGATCGAATTAATTATGCACGTAATTAATCGACGAAAATGGACCACGGAAGCATACAAATAATTAATAATAAGAGCGAACTTTTTGACCTGGGAGACCATCATCTCTCTCCGATATTTACGAACTTCAGAAATTTTCATTTAAATAATTAAATTATAGATGGAAAAAAAGGGTATCACATCTGAAAAGTTCACGTAATGATAATAGTAATAGTAATAATAATAATAATTATAATAATAATATTATTATTAATAATCGAGGAGAGGAAAATGAAAATTGTAACGCCTTCACGCTGTGATTTTGTTTAAACGAAGAGAAAATATTGAATCTATCTACGTTAAGAAGCGGAAGCCTTAGATTAATCTTAAGAATAACACACAAACACACACACAGATGAATAAATAAATTAGATTAATTAAACTCGCCTCGAGTTTCATTCAAATTTGTTTATTACTCTGTTTATTTACAATTTTATTCCGTATTGCCAGAAAGTTCCGTTCAGATAATAGTTTCACGATCGGTATATTCTACAACAGTTCTCCGTTCTACATTTATCCGTAATAGATATGGCCCACGAGCGAAGCTAGGGAGCCAAAATGGTGGCCTATGTGGGAAGCCGTCGCGCATGCCCGGTTCATCGGTCAAAATTCTATAATTCTTCCCGACTATAATTTGGAATCTCGAAATTTGAAAAAATTCACAAACGTACAGAAGTATGTCTCTGAATTTTCTTATCGTCTTCCGTCTGCTAGAATCGAAAAAATTAAATATGAATATTATGCGGGATAGCTTCTCACAGGTCGGCCATTACGCGCCGTGGATTCCAGCCAATGGGCGTTGTTCGTCGCCACTAACTCTACGCGTTCAGTACTGTCAAAACCGCGTAGTGTTTCCTATCTGTTACCCATCCTCTCTTCTCGCCTGTCGCGAAAGCCCGTCGAAGAATACTTAATCGAAGCTCTGTGATAAACCGTGACTTTTCGTTAACAACCATCCGTGCGTGCGATGAATTGATCCCCGTCCGCGCGGATCACTTCCAACGGGCGTAGAAAACGATTTCGCAAGCGTTACGTGGGGCGAGGCTCGCGGAACATCGGGAGGGAACATGGAGGACTATCTGCCGAACGAATACGATGTCGTCGTCGTTGGCACAGGCGAGTATTGATTTTCAAGTAAATATCATCATTGTTTCATTGGAGTCAATTTTCAAATGGAGGCGTTTGTAACTCGCAGGTATGACCGAGAGCATAGTGGCTGCAGCTGCTAGTAGAATTGGCAAAAGGGTGCTTCATCTTGACAGGTAAAGAATGCTCCTTCAAATTGTCACCATGCAGCCTCAAATTTCAGTGTACCGTTGGTTTTAATGATTTATGAATCGCAGCAATGAATATTACGGAGGCCTCTGGGCAACGTTCAACTTCGATGGCCTGCAGAAATGGATTGAGGATCTGCAGAACTCGAAGAAGAATGATGAGAGCCTGGATATTGGTTTGGAAGATGGGGAAAAATTCCTGAGAACCAGTACTGAATACTCGACTGTCGAGAACATAGAGGAGACTTGGTATATTGCTGGGTAAGCTCTGTGCTTTAGAGTCAATGCAAATAGGGTTCCATGCAATTTTGTCCTAGTTACAATAATTAACGAGCAATTATTAACAGCATCTTCCTTTTTTTAATTGTTTGTTTAAAAATTTGTTCCAATTGTGACTTTCTATTTTGATTGTGTGAGTTTTGGTTAATTCACAGCGAGGCGGACCTGCCGGTGGTAGTATCGAAGGACACGCAGACCGATCACAGTAGTGATGGGACTGGAAGTGGCGACGAGAAGTCTGACGAGGATAAAGCTGAAAAAAAGGAGAACGTGAAGCAGTGGAGCGTCGATAGAATCAGAAAGGAGTATAGGAAGTTCAATATAGATTTGGCGCCGAAGGTATTTCGAATATTTGTTATGGAATAGATAGATAGATAGTTTCAATAAGAAACTGGAGTCTTAATAGCGAATCTTTAAGATTTCCCGAGGTCTATGGAAAAATTCATCCTTATCGATTAGGAGTAGATTTGGGTAAAATTCCTTCAAGCTTTAATTCGAGCCGCAGTTCGATCGATTTCGTTCGATATTAACAGAGATGTAGAAACTGTTCTTTCCCAAATCTTAAATATGAAAACAATTCTTGTGACACTGAAAAATGTCTACGTGCGTTGCAGCTGTTATTTGCGAGAGGCGAGCTGGTGGAGTTGTTGATCTCCAGCAACATAGCGCGTTACGCGGAGTTCCGTGCCGTTTCGAGAGTTGCCACGTTCATGGATGGGAAACTGACCCAGGTACCCTGCTCGAGGGCCGATGTGTTCGCCAATAAAACTGTAAGCGTCGTCGAGAAAAGGATGCTGATGCAGCTGCTCACTTCATGCATGGAACAGGGAGCTGACAGTCCGGAGTTCGATGGTACGCCTTCAACGCTTAATAGGATAATCTCCGGATGGCTGCGAGTCTTCTCTCTCTATACTGAGAAATCAGTTTCACATTCATGATTATTCCGAAAATATTCGAGTTATGAGAGAATGCGATCGTTTTTGTTGATAATTGTTTGAAACCTTTTTCGCTAGAGTCAATAATTAATGAGTTATTAACTTCGATTCTAACGAAGACAAGTTGATGGAAGGTATAAGAAGGGTCCTAAGTGCTTCTTCAGTTTCATAAAGATATTTTAACCAGTTAATTAATAATAGTTTAAAAACCAAATGGTATAACAATTATTCAGTTTTGTATTGGAACTCTTCCCTTCAAATTATTACGATTTTGATTTTAATGAAGGGAATTGAATGAAACTTGGGAGGGCCCATTCAAATGTCTCTCAAGTTTCATAAAGCTGTCTTTAATAATTTCATAATTATTAACGAAAATATACTTAACATGAAAATGATTTCTGTTCTAATTCAAATTTATCACTTGAAATTGCTATTAAAATATTTTTCGCTATCACCAATAATTAGCGGAATTCAAATAAACGGTGGCTATCCGGAGATCCTAGTGTTCAGGATTTTACGGTTGAATCTTGGCGACAGGCTTCCGCGACAAGACGTTCCTGGAGTATTTGAAAACGAAGAACCTCACGCCGATCGTGCAACACTACGTGGTCCAAGCGATCGCCATGGCCACGGAAAAGACTTCGTGCAGAGACGGTGTGAATCGCACGAAGCATTTCCTGAACAGCCTCGGTAGATATGGGAACACTCCGTTCCTGTGGCCTATGTACGGCAGCGGCGAGCTGCCCCAGTGCTTTTGCAGGTAAACAAACGAATCACGGATCTTCAGATGAAACGATCTGTGCTTCTTTAATCGGTATTAGAGTTTACTATGATCGTTGAACTTGCCTTAAAGATTGTGCGCGGTGTTCGGAGGGGTCTACTGTTTGAAGCGTCAACTGGACGGCGTGGTAATGAGCGAGAATAAATGCAAGGCCATTATCAGTGGTAAGCAGAAGATCAGTTTGGAGCACCTAGTACTTGGACAGGGACACCTTCCAGCTGAGGTAGTCGCCTCCGAAGGCGAGCAACGGATATCCCGCGGAATATTCATTACCGACAGGTTCCGTTCGATCAAATTTTTAATCGAGACCCGCCGTTTCTTGTGTTCGTCGATCGAATGACGATTGTTTGTAGGTCAATTATGCAAGGGGAGAAGGAGAATTTAACGCTTTTATATTATCCACCGGAGCAGCCGGATCAAGAACCGGTCACCTTGATCGAGCTGGGACCATCGACCAACGCCTGTCCCCAAGGATTATGTATGTTCCTTTTATAACGATTCACAGTTTATTGTAGATCGATAAATAATAGTTTAGGCTCCCTCCTTTTTAGTTATGGTGCACATGACTTGTAAACGTACGAAAGACGCGAAGGAGGACCTGGCCTACGTCGTAGAGAAATTTCTCAAGGCTGAACCGTTGGACCCAATGGCGGTTCGCGCTTCGATCCACAGTCATACTCAGACCGTTCCCAACGACAAGCAACACGTTCAGGTTAAATTTCATTTCTTAGTAGTTCGTAGGCGGATCTGCGAAATTTTGTAGTGGGACGAAATTAAATTAGAGAACGAGGGGTTTAATTCGAGATAAGAATTAAGTAAATCGGTGAATTATTAACGAAGTTATCAGAGGTTGAAATTGAACAGTTTTCTATAAATTGTTCCATCGATCGAATTTATACATTTCGGCTCCTCGGACGATGTTAGACTTTCACAGTCGATTTACGTAAAAGTGTTTGATAAACTAAATTGAGGTAGAGAGTTCAAAGTTTATTTTAAGCCACGAACGAACTAAATCGGTTCATTATTAACGAAGTTATAAACAATTCAACTTGAACAATATTTTTCATTAGGATAGAATATTTAGAATTGGATAAGGTTCGATTCGAAGTCGATTTTAAACCCTTAGAAGTCGATTTAAGGACGTTAGTCCCGCTGAGTTGGTCTCAATCATTTCAAGTGTTGCCACGTAGTGGTACAGATATTAAATAGAAACAAATGGTTGAGAATCTTTGGCCCTCTAATACATCGCACAGCGTATACATACGCACTTACACAACCTTACAC